TCAATTTTTAAAATTCAAATAAACTTTCGTTTAAATGAACATTTTCTCCTAATATAAAAAATTTGCAAATTTGCACTTTCCATGAGTTTCTTACTTATAGTGATTAATCTTATGAGTTTTATGTATTAATCCAGGGGTGGGGAACCTGTAGCCTCGAGGCCACATGTGGCCCACAAACTTCACAGAACAAATCCCCTTAATAAAAGGATTTGTTCTGTAAAACTTGGACTCAGTCAAAAGGCCATATCTATGGACCTAGAAGGCTATGTGTGGCCTTGAGGCCGCACACCCCTGATTACTAGTCTAACATGTTTCCCAAGTGTTTGTAAATATAAGTCCATTTCCATAGTAGAAATATACACATGTGCTAATAGCTATCATACATTTATTCATGAGTAGCTACCACTGGATACATATACATATGTATATATCTATATATATATACACATATGTATATATCTATATCTATACACATATATGTATATATCTATATCTATCTTTTACTTATCCTCATCTAATTCAAGGGGACAACAGAAACACTGACAAAATTACAGGACAATATCACACTTCTTTCTCACCTAGAAAACAAAAACCTCAGAAGTTTTTGCTGTTCACCAAAATATAAGCTAAATCACATTTTAAAATCATGATCAAAAACATTTACTAAACACACTGGTGCAATAGTACTAGAACACATTAGACACTGCCCATGAAATCGAGCAGCTTATGACATAAAAAACATATGGACTTGGGATTTCATCAATGTGTGTACTGTCTTCCATGGTACAGATTGCAACTCTTTCTTCATTCCTTCTCATCCTGTGTGATTCTTGTTCATGTTCTCCTATAAATCCTCTACTCAATGCCATGGGGACATTCCTCCAGATTGCTTGAGATGATAGGGATGCTAATGGAGCACACAGTCTGTTCATCAGTTATCCTCTGCTCCAACTACATGATTGACCCAACTCTTTTTCCAGTTGTAAAAGTTCGTGATGGCACCCTTTATGCTTCCCCTCCAGTGCTTTCTTCACTGATAGTTTATGGCATCCTATTCATACTCACCATGTCTCTTTCCATTGCTCTTTGGGTAAGACGAAACTTTAGTTCTTTGGAGTTTGTGGTATTCTATGACCCACAGACATAAAGCATCACAAGAAGAATATTAATGTTAAAAAGATGGAGACTTCGTTTCAGGGAGAAACCTTGGGGGGAAGGGAGGGGAGTGTCATGAAAAGAATTGCACAATTTCCCAAAGGCAATCCAGCTTTCTCCAGACCCAACTCATTATCTATCCACAGTGTCTGTCCAACAAACACACATATGAGTATGTCTATATCTATGTCTGTCTTTCTATAGTATATAGAAATAGAAACAGACATAGACACATACATATTACTGAGCCCACAGACACACATGTATGCATACATATACATACACACATAGCTCTGCAATGTTCTGCAGCTTGCTGCAACCAACACAATGCCATCTACAAAGAGGAGCATCTGGAAGACCCTGCCATCTGTGGGGAATCTTTCTTCCATGTGGGTTCTGCATTTGACATAATCTTTAACAGTGGCAAATACCTTTCACAAGCATATACACCTGTTTTATATCTTGATTGATTTTAATCATCATAGAGTTGTTGAACAAAGTTCTCTCTGTTGTTATGTTATCCAAGAAACACTGTATGATTTTGACATATACATGGAGACATTTGCTGTTTAAGATGACATTTTGCTTCATCAAATCAACTGTTTTTCTTTAGTAATCAACAATAAATGTAGTAGGTTCTTATATTCTTTATTCTTTTCAGCCAATTAGGGGATTGTAAAGATGTAGACTGCTGTAGAATGTTGCTTGCAAAAGTGATTGTTTCTTTCTCGTATTTTTATCAGGAATGCTCCTGGAAAGTACGCAGATATTTCCTATAAATATTTTGTAGATACAGTAAAGTAGGTCAGTAGTTTTTACAGTTTTTTGACTACCCTTTTGGGGGCAATAATAAAGTTTGTGATTTTTCCCCCCAGTCATTTGACACTTTACTCTCTTTTCAATATATGGAGGATTCATTCCTCAATACCTTCAATGTTGTTTCATCTTTAACAAAACATCCTTTGTGTATACTTTGGTCTAGTTTAGCTGCTCTTCCCATCTTTGTTCTTTTTACTGCTCTTTCTACTTCTTGATTCAGCATATTTGGGATTGTGATGTTAGAATCTAAGTGAGGTAGCTCCATTGTCACTGATGGGAAAAAGGTTGTTACAGAAATCTTTACAAATCCTCACCATCTTTCTTCTATTTCTTCTCTCCTCTCTGCTTTGTTTCTTATTTTCTCCTTCCATTTTCATCTTAAATGTTCTTGTGTGATCTGGCTTAGGTGGATCTCATCAAATTTTCTGTAAATCATTTTTTTCTCCACTGCTTTTCATTGTTTTATGAAGTATTACTTATCATAGTCTTCTTTCTCCATTAACTTTAGAAATTATTTTATGTTCTAAAATTGTTTGATGTTCCCCTTTTCTGTCATATCTCTGTACCTGGCGAAGAGATGAAGTGTTTGCTGACTGACGGAATTTCTAGGATCTTCTGTTCTCCCCATTATAGCATTTGATTTACATCAGTTAAACTTGCTTAGGAAATAGTGATAGTTTCTGTCAATGCTTGCTGTATGAACACCTTGTTTACATAGCCAAGTGGGAGTTGTCTCAGTTGTGTGCCATATTCTTTTCTCATTTTTATATATTTTTATAATCTTGATCTAATTTTGGTATTGATTTTGATCTTTGCTCTAACAAGGCAGTATACTGACTGAACACAGACAGCTAGTTTGGAAATGCCTTCCATAAAATGGAATTTAACTATATGTTAAAATATTATCGATTTAATTTTTGGTCCTACTACTCAGCGTTGAGCTCATGGTGAGTACTCAGCATTGAGTTCATGGTGAGTACTCACCAAATCTCTTTCTGAAGAAAACATCCATTATATAGAAGTGTGGGTTTGGAATTAGTTTATAATCCTCAGTCTCTCTAATTGGCTTTTTTTTTTACTCCTGAATCATGTTTTCCAACAAATTTTCACTATTCTCCTCTATGTCCACTTTTACTTTAAAGTCATTGTATATTAATGTCTACATTGATTTTATTTAATGGGTCTTATCAAGTTCTTTGTGGAATTTCTCTACCTTCTATGCAATAGATTTTGGCACATAACCTGCAATTATTTTGACATGGCCTTTTTGTAAGTATTTATCTGGACTGATGAAATATAAGATGAATAAGTAAACCATGAAATAATGTTTCTTGCTATATTTAGATGCATGATAAAAACCAATTTGCTTCTCTAAGGAGAACTTGTGAGTCATCCTTCCATTTAGTGACAACTTCCATTTTTTTTTTTCTGTTTTTTGTTATAGTGAGAATGTAAGACTGATAGTTAGTGCTTAAAATAGTATGTTTACTCACTGGACACCGAGCAAGGCTCTCACATTTAGAGTACCAAGAGTTAAGTTGTTTGTAGATAATCTGAAAACTATATGATTCTTAGTATCCTCTGTCCCCTTTCTGGCTATTTTGCTTCTATTGTTTAATGAGGAGACTGGCCAATGAAGGCCTAGTCCTTAGAGCATGAAAGTATTTGCTCTTCCTGGTGGGTTAGACAGAAGACATGCAGTATTCCCTGACTTGTTTCAATCCAATATGCAGAGACTTGATAAGTTTACTTGTGGTCACGAGTGTCAGAGGGACTAGTATTGTGGTGATAAAGAGTGTTCTAATTGACTAAGAGTGTATACAAAAGGTTCAAGCAGACGATCTCTCACTTTCTTCCTTGATGGCTTTTGAGTATGAACCCTATTTCCCAGCCTACCACAATATGCAAAGTCCCTACAGCAATCAGAGTTTGTAGCAAAGACCACTGGGTCTGGCAACAGCAGTAGCTTAATTTGGTAAGGACCCGATCCTAAGGAATAATCTGCTTGACCTAGCCCAGTAGTGGACTGTCCTGTTAGCCAAAACATGGAATCTGGTAAGGAGCTAGCCCAGTGGATGAAGAAACTACTCATTTACCAATGATAACACTCCTAGAAGAAAACTTGATGGGGCTTCCACAAAGGGAAAAAAAGGACTCCCAGGGCCACAAATCATGAGATGCATTTGTTCGTAAGATGTGTGCCTGATTATCTCTCTCTATACTTTAACTCGAGCCCACTCTTCCCTGGGCCTGAGTGTGGGCAGAAAGTAGAGTGAACCTCCAATCTGGGGGATATTTTATAACTAATGTCCTTGCTATACCTTCAGATGGGTAGAACCACACTGGACAGGGACTTGTGAGAGAGTATAAGAAAGCACAAACCCTCAGAATTACCCTTAGAATTAGTGTAGGAGTAGTTAGCTGCCATTTGAGGACCCATCCTGCTAATGAATTGTGACAGTGAGCTAAAAGAGGTGTTACAACTGCAAAAGTGAAAAAAAGTCACACAAAAAAGGTTATTTTATATTTTTCTTTGTTTTGTGGTTTACCATGGCCAAAGGCCCTGTGACTAGCCCATTGCTGATGAGTTTCTGTATTGTTAGGTCAGTCCTCAGAGAGTAGCTAGAGTTTATTTCTAGGACCACGCTTGAAGCCTTTCCAGCGTGTAGAACTTTCAAGCTTGGACTCTACTCTCAGGGTATTCTAGGACTCAGGACACTGCAAGGCATGATGAGACAATGCAGTAGGATTTAATGTGTGATACAGATGTCCATTGCAGGCTAAATCTAATTACATTAAACTCCAAGGACAGTTCAAATTTTGTTAATTTTTATTAAAATTCTGTTGTTTTGAACAACATTTAAAATGAGAGAATGAAAAGATAGGACTTGGAAATCTTTTTTTGTTATTCAAAGGTTTTGTTGTAATGAAGGTCAATCTTTTTTTTTTTAAGTTAAAAAACAATCACAATAGAAACAGAAAAAAAATTACAACAGAATAGAAATGGCCAAGACAAATAGCAGTACCTTTTCTATCAACCCTTTCGCTCCTTCATTTGTGAGAGTTTCATATGTCAAGGGACATTCCTCGATTACAAGCCTGGGTCGGCCTTGTTCTTTGAGCGTTGTCTGTGTCTGGCTGTGACAGAGAGAAGATCTTGGGTCAGAGCTCTATTACTGATTTTCATCTAACATTTGCCCATCAAAATACTTATATTTGAATGCTTATTTTCCAAGGTATTATCTGTAGGTCAATCTACAGATAAAACCCTGGCAACAGTTTTTTCCATGATTTTATATAAGATTTGATGGCTTTGCATTCTTATTGGAAACATCTTGAAAACACATTATAATAATGCTTAAACCTTTCCAGTTTCTAACACAAGCTGTTTTCATATCTAAAGAAACATATATTTAAAGAAAGTCAAATAACTTCTGACAAAAATTTTAAGACTGATGTATAATCTTTGTATAACAAAATGAATCAAGAGCATAAATAAAATGCTACTTAGAGGAAGATTTTATGTGGAAATAATTTATTTGATATCAGAATGGAAAAATTATTTATACACGGCTGATCAGATTTGTAATTAGGACACAAACATTGCTACTGTGTCATGTTTGTTTAGTAATGCTTGAGTTACCACATTTATGTTAGGATCCAATACTCTATTAGAAGCTGAAGCATAATTGTAGATAAGTAGGAAATCATTTAGTGAAAGGTAGTCCTCCTTAAAAGGACACCTTAAGTTAGTTTATAAAAGTCTTTATCAAAAATATTGCCAGGTTTTCTGCTTTTTTTCTTCTCCCTGTTTTCTTTTTTGCCCTCTTCTCCTTTGCCTTCTTTCCTATTTCTTGGCTGCATAAGGATGTTGCTCAGGGCCACTAGGGCCATTCTGGGCTAAAGAAATTGCTGACCCTTGCTCTAAGCAAAATCTGAAGGGTTTGTCATGGATTTGTGTTTAAAATTGTGTTTAAAAAACTGTTAAATTCAGATATTTTCCTAGGCTTGGGGTTTATTATTATGATGGAAATGAAACACTTTACTTTTATTATTTTACTATGAAAACTATTAACTGTATGCTAGAAAAAATTAACTATTGTTTTGAAAACAAATAATTTAAAAACATGATGGCTAATTTTTTTTAATCCTATAGTGGGGAAAATAAGTCAACAAAGTTCAGGAGGTTAATCTACACTTGCAAAAATTTGAAATTTCTCATTAGTTCAATGATCACATTTTACAACTTAATGCTAATTTCAGTTGCTACCATTTAAATCAATTCAATTAAACACATTTATTAGACTCTTACAAAGAGTAAGCCACTAGGATGGGCATTGGAGTTACACAGATAAACATAAGCCACATTCCCAGTTTTCAAGGAAAAACATTTAGCAGGGAAGATAAGACACATGCATAAATAATTATAATATCAATTAGAGTGTGATAATCACTAAGTAAAGTTCTGTGAGAAATTTGACAAATGAAGATCCAGCAGGGGTTGGGATCAAATAAGGTTTTTTTGGAGAAGATGGCACCTGAGTTGACATTTGAAGGAAAGGAGAGATTTCGACAGGTGGGAATGACAGGAGAATCTATTGATGGCTTGAGGGATAATAACCAAGGTTCGGAAATGAAAGAGAGCATAATGAGAGAAGAGAATAGGGAATAGTCTACTTTGATTGTAATGTAGAGTGTGTGAGATACAGCAGTATAAACTAATGCTGGAAAAGTAGGTTGAAGTAGGAGGGGTTGTTGGATGCAGGTTAAGGAGTTTGTAATTTATTGTGTAGACAATTAGGAGCCACTGAAGGCTATTTTAATAAAGGAAGTGACCAGAGCTGTGCATCTGGAAGATTATTCTGGTAGCAGTGTGAATAAGGTTAGAGATACTAGTGACCAAGAGACCAGTTAGCAAGTTATTACAATTGTCTAGGTAAGAGGAGATAAAGACCAGAATTTAGGGTGCACAGCAGGGTACAGATAAAAGATACTGTGGAAGTACAATACTACATGACAACTAGTTGGATGTAAGAGGACAATGAGAAAAAGGGAAGAGTTAAATAATACTTTGAGGTCTTATTTTTGAAGTTCTTGGGAGAAGAGTAGTGCCATTAAAAATGGAAATTAGGAGGAGGGTCACGATATATGAAGGGAATCAAGAGATGATGATTACATTCTAAAGATTTGGCTTCTCAGTCAAGTATCTTATTACTAAAGTAACTTCATTACACAGTTTAATTCCCTATACTGACCAGTGGTGGGGACATTCATTCCTCCTCCTCGATACTCAGCAAGTCAGGAGGTGATCTGAGGAAACTCACTTCAGACAGCTTTGACCTTAGAGAAGCAGAAGAAGTCATCTACTAAGAATGAGGAGAAAAAGAATCTATTTGTGCACTTGAGGAAAGAGGAATAGTTCCTATGGATTATATGGCAGCAATCAAAAAAATAAAAAATGAATATAAGAATTGTCATAGAGTAATGGAGAACCTTTTGAGGTCAGACAGCACAGATTTGTGAAAGACTTACTCATAGTTTCTTCATTCCCTCTTGGAGCACTTGACTGATCTAGAGTAGGAGTGGAGATGGAAGATGGTGGGTGTCAGCAGGGTAGGAATAATGGATGACCAAGGGATGGGGATGAGGTAAATTAATGATATTCAATGGTAGAACACTGAGCATCACTGAAATAGCTTTTCACTGCGTCAAGAGAAGACAAGATCTATAAAACAATCTTTGTATTGTGAAATGGATTTGTAAAAATTAATTTATTCAACTAAAAATAAGTAATGACATCCTTCTTTCTGGCATAACATACCTTAATTTTAAACGAGACAATACAACTCTATACAGATGGCTTGCTGGCAAGTGTCTTCTTCTTCCAACAGATAATATAACAGGGTGAACAGCTCCTACAATATAGCCTTTAACATAATATTCTTCAACTTTTGGTGCTATATCCAGAATTGAGCTGATCTTGATAACTTCTGGATTTGAGGAGGCTGAAATGTGCAAAGAAAAAGGAAAGCATCATAGATCAATTCAATTCAATTCAACAAATATTTATTGAGCAATCTAAATGTATAAGGTATTGTGCTAGTTCCTGATGGGATGCAAAGATAAATAGGACAGCGTTTCTACTTCCTAGGAACCTGCAATGTAGTAGGTCATAAAATCTCCTCACACAGTACTGCCTATGTCTTTTTATAATAACAAAAAAGAAATATCAACATGGCTATGGTGATCATATTTTTTGAACCAAAAATCAGGACACATAGTCTAACAAATGTTTTCTTCTTAAAGGTGCACTTAACCACCCTTGAACTGTAGATAGTACTGGCAAATCTGTGACATATGACTGCCACAGATGCAACTTAATTTCAAGTTAGGTTATAATAAAAACATCCATATTCTACATGATAGTTTGTTATAGAAAATCTAAAAACTGCCTAAATATTTTTCAGCAAAAATCACATTAAATACTTTTCAATAAGTCAAAACTCTAAATATTAAGGAACTTGAATGTATAAAATATACAATTTAACTAAAATCTTTAAGTAGGCTATAGTTAGCACTGTCTATATAATACAAAACAGAAGGGATATAAAATTAAATGTTCTGAATGTTGTGCCAGTAATACAACTACAAAAACAACTTTTTAAAAAAAGCTCCGAGTTTTTCATTTTCCTGGAAAACAATCAAGAACCAATATTTAGAAATAGACTTGTAATTTAATGATCTCTTTGAATAATAAAACATGAAATAATTTCCAGGTACAGTCTTCTAAGACATTGGCCTGATGAAGCACTGCCTCTTATAGCAAAGAAATGCTGTTGAGTGCATTAGCACAGGAAGGATGTTAAGAAACAGATGAGGAAAAAGGATCAAAGGAAATACTCCACCCCCTATTACCCGCCATCCAACACCCACGGGTTCTGACCCATGCAATTGAAGTAGAAATCCGCCACCAATTGGAGTATATACCAACTTCTCCTGAACCTTTATAAACATTCAAAACAGAAAGCCATAACAACCCAGGCCACTCCATTTCCCACAACTTCTCATCTCTCTTTTTGCTTTAAAGTAATCATCTATTTAAGTATTTCCTCTTCATCATTAACAGCAGGAATGAAAACAAAGAGAATAATGTTGGACTTTTAAGAAACAGCTGGGCTTCATTTTAAATAATGCAGCCCTGTTTGGTTGTAGTTACATCTTTTAAAAAATCCCATTTGTTTTTACTTTGGGTAGTATTTTGAGTACTAGCCCTGATTTATAAATAAAAACATTTAAAACTAAAAGAAGAACTAAAGCATAGTCTTGGTTGATTAAGGGAGAAAATTAAATAAGCCGATTTTAAGAACATATGATATCCGAAGAAAGCACCATAGGATCTTAGCAAATACAGGCCTTTTAAAAAATGTTTTCAAGTATGACATATTTTTATCATTTTCTCCAACAATTAGAACTGTATTTCAATTACTATACACCTATCTCATGATTTTTATGACTCAATTAAAGCTGTTACATAATGGATTTATTTTAAAATGCACAATGGCGCCTAAAGCTCTACTTCAGTAATTCACCAAGGCATGGACGATCCATGCCTTGGGTTCTTAGACTATGCCAACAAAGCACAAGTCTAGCAGTCCCTACCAATGTGGAAAAATATCAAGTGTAAGCCTAGAATGGGGTGTGTGTCTGATGACTGAGAACCAGCCTAGCTAAACTGGGACACTCATTACCCAAATGGCCACAGGGTGATAATTCCTTTTGGCCACAGCAACTCACAAAGACTGTCTGCTAAAGCCTAGGAGTTGTGAGCTTTGTTGGTGGAAGAAAGACCTACATTGATTAAATCATGGATCTCTGAAGTACTGAAATAACCAACTTCATTTTAAGTTAAAAAAAAAAGAGTATATGCTGTCTTTTCTTAAAAAGATGAGGAATTTCTAAGAAATTTGATTCTTTTAAAAAATATTTGTTATTTTAGGTTCCTAGGCAGCTGAGATTGTAAAATATATCTAAAAATTGGGAAAAAGTAAAAAAGACAGTTAAAATTACTTTTGAAAAAGCTGCTTACAATTACTATATGTCTTATGGCCCACAGAAATACCACCCTTGTTGCTGGCCATTTGTACTAAGCTGGTTATATAAGTGGGTGTGCTTTGCTATAATTGTTCATTAGCTTGGGCTCAGAATCCCTCCTGGATGTCAGCCTAGTTATTTTGCTCCTTTTCTGTATTTTGATCTCTTAGGGCTTTTGAAGCCCCTCTTAGCCTTGGCATATATCCTAGTTGGGAGTCCACCAACCTTCTATATGTAAAGTGGGGGAAACAAATACACTTGAAAAATCTTAGTCTTATCAAATGCTTGGATCCTTAAAATGAAAACAATTATGCTAGAATTTGTGATGTAATACTATTGACAGGAGAGAAAAAATGCACTATAAATTTGAGTGTTGTTCTCTCTCAGAGATTAGTTATAGAACACACCAATTTCTCCTTGTTACTGTAATGGAAATGGCACAGTTTATGCCCTTAAGGAGCTTACCGTCCAGTGGGAATTGTGGAGGGGAATGAGGAATAAATACAAATAACTGATACAAGTTGGTAAATGTTTAAATTCATAGGAAAAATCAAATAGAATGGCCTAAGAGATTCAAAGAGGGAAGAATAATTGCTTTTGAGAGATATCAAAGAAGGCTGATAGAGAAGGGAAAGGCAAAGGAAGGGAGTAAGCATTTATATAATGCCTACTATGTGCCAAGTACTGTTCTAAGCATATTTTACAAATGTTATCTCATTAGGTCCTCAAAACAACTCGAGTGAGGTAGGTGTTGTTATTATCACCTCTTCACAGCTGAGGAGATTAAGGCAAACAGAGGTTAAATGATTTGCCAAGAGTCACACAGCTATTAAGTGTCTAGGGTCAGATTTAAACTCAGGCCTTCCTGATTTCAGGCCCAGCATGCTCTGCACTGTACCACTTACCTACCTCAAAGAGAACTGGGCTTCATCTGCAGAGAGGTGATAACTGAAACCAAGTGAGGGGACAAAATTACCAATGGAAAGAATGCAGGGAGAAAAGAAAAGAGGGAGGAAGAAATGAAAGTCAAAGACAGAGCTTTTAGTAATGTCCATACTTTGCAGGCAGGATGAAAAGGAGTACTAGCCAAGAAGATGGAGAAGAACCCGTGAGAACTGGAGAAAAACCAGGAGAGCACAATGTTGTGGAAGCCAAGGGAAGAGAAAATATTAATGAAAATTTGTATTGGTACATTGGTATGCTTGAGATACAAAAATAATAAAAAAGAGTCTCCGGAAACTTGCAAAAATGAAAGCTTTATGGGAAAGTATAGACATGAATGAGACATGGAAAAAAACATAGAAATGTCTCCTCTTTGTTGACAGAGGAAGTGTCCACACTGATGAAATCACAGCACCTTCAAAGTAAGCATTCAGAGAGAATATTCCCACAACACTCTGTACTGCTTCAGATCACATTCAGGTTATTGTGATCAGTGTTCTGAAAGCCACATTTTAAGATGGGTACTGATATACTGGAGTAACTCTGAAGGAGGGCAACTAGGATGATGAGTAGCTTGAATATCAAGTCACGTGAAGACTAGTTAAGGAAAATGGTGATATTCGGCATGGTAAAGATAAGATGGGGCAGTTAGGTGGCACAGTGGATATAAAACTGAGCCTGTGGTCAGGAAGACTCATCTTCCTGAATTCAAATCTGGCCTCAGACACTTACTAGCTGTGTGACCCTGGGCAAGTCACTTAACCCTGTTTGCCTCAGTTCTCTCATCTGTAAAAAGAGTTGTAAATGACAAACCACTCCAGTATTTCTGCCCAGAAAACCCCAAAAATGGGGTCACAAAGAGTTGGACAATATTGAAAATGATGTAACAAAAGAGTAATCAAATATTTGAAGGGTTATATGGAAAAAGACTTTTTGTATATTGTTCTGGAGGACAGACCTGGACTCAGTGGTTGGAATTTATGGGAAGGTAGATTTGGCTCAATATGGGGAAGAGTTTTCTAATAATTAGAGTTATCTAACAAAGAAATGGGATGTTTTGCAAAGCAGCGAGTTCCCCATCACTGGTATATTTCTAACAGAGGCTAGAATATGATGATCTATCAGGGATTTTGCAGGTAGTGGTAGGCTGAATTAAATTATAACAAGATCTCCGTATTTACTTCATATATTTGTATAAGCTTTTTTGATCTCTAAGGTCTCAATTCCAAGTTTCTGCTATTGTATGAATGCATTTACCCGTCTGCATCTTGTGCTACCATGCCAAACACTGGGGAAGAATAGTCAGAAAGAGTGGGCAACTGTGATGCTAAAGACATGCCTGACTAATTTAGTCTTACTCATTTGGAAATACTGGGAAGGGCCAAAGAGCCCAAGGGTACTTCCAGTATACAGAAAGTGAGGAAAGGGAGTAAAAGAGGCAGCAGAGAATTGGGGGGTAGGTAGTAGGAATAATTAGGACAAGTAAGGTAAGAGAAAAATTTTTCATCATGTTAATATTTTAATTCTGCCTGTGAAATTCCAACCCCACTGCTCCTAGTTCTGTCTTCTGGTGCCAAGTAGAACAAGCTTAATTCCTCTTCTATGTAATACTTTTAATATGTTTAGATATAATGTTTTCCTTTCTTCAGACTAAATATCACTAATTCCTTTCACTGATCTCCATATGGCATGGGTTCTAGTACCCTCATCATCATGGGTGCCTTCTTTTGGACAAGCTCCAGCTTGTTAATATCATTTCTAATATGTCATACTTAGAACCAAACGTGATATTCCAAACAGGCTTTGACCTGAGAAGACTACAGTAAAGCTATCACCACCCTTGTTTTGGACACTTTACTTCTGAAAATAATCAAAGAATTTGTTAGCTTTTTTGGCTGCCATATCATACTGTCATACCGAGCATGCAGAGAACCAGATTTTTCCTCACAGACTATTATCTAACCACATTTTT